CTGGTCTGCTAATACATTTACCCTTCCACCTTGAGCTCACTGTTTCCAGCACCATTTTCTCAGTAAGGAAAGAAATGAGATATTTGGCAATAGCTCCTTGAGAAGGAGCTGTGGACTGTGTATTCCCAAGTGCTGTTGTATCCAGGATAAAGGGTGAACTACCCTAGAGAGATTTGGGAATCTAGAACAAGGAGCATTGGATGGACAGCCAAGGTCACAAAATACCTTGCATGAAGGGAAGAAATAAAAGTTGTGTAACAGAGAAGCGCAGAAAAAAAGGTTTGTTCAATATGGACACACTGAGGAGAGGAACAAAGAGGTCTAGGGACACCCCTACCAAGTCCATCTTCAGGGTCCAGACATAAGGCTTAAGTTTAAATAGAGGGCAAAGAAATGTACCAAGAAACCCTGATTAAGCTGTGGTCCCACTCATCATTGTCTGGGCTCCAGTTTCTCCTGTAAGATGGTATGAACAACTGTCAGAACTATGTGACCGCTTTCCAGGATACAAGTTCCTGCTCTGATTGGCTCTAGGACTATTTCTTTTCCTTCTGCGTGAGATTCCAAGGGAAGTTCCAATTTCTTTGGGGTTTGTTATTTAATAGTTTGAGAGCCAAAGGAAGGGTCAAACGTGTCTCTTTAGGAAATCTTTATTCTTTCCAGGGGCGAAGGCTCAGTCAGTAAAATCACTAGCTACACAAGCCTGGTGGCCCAAATTCCATCTCCAGCACCCAGCTGGTTGTGGCAGCTGGTTGTGACAGTATAAGTTTGTAAACCTAGAAGTCCCACAGCAAAATGGGAGACAGAGACAGAAGAACTGTCTGGAAGTTCACAGGGAAGCTAGCCTGGAGCACATAGTTCATCAGCAGAAACAAGAGAGAGCTGGCCTCTCAGCAAGGTGGAAGATGACTGTTGTATGTATGCACACACGCACACATGCACGCACCATCTTCATTCGCTATAGACTTGCATCTCGAGTTGGAAGTAACTATTAGTCCCAAGGGGGCCCCAGGTGGAAACAAAGTAAAAGCCCACAGAAGCAATGGTTCTGAGCTGACAGTAGGGGTGTATGTCAGCAGCTGCTGTTTTACTTTATTACACAACACCAAGCACTAGCTCTTCCCTTTCTTGAATTACTACAAGAATTTACCAGATTTAAGGAGGAGGCAGACAGAGCAGAGTCCTGGATTTGACAGACATTGTTTCTGGCACTTGTTAAGGGTTGATGCCAGCATTCAAGATTATGGGTGGAGAAACAGGCCATAGTTCTAATGACCAGAATAGCTCTAAAAAGAATAATTACAAATGGCTAATAAATATTTGAAAAGTGTTCCAACGTTGTTAGCCATCAGGAAAATGCAAACTTAAATTGCTTTAAAACTCTGTCTCACCCTGGTGAGACACTATCTTCAAGAAAGTAAATGACAAGCAGGGCAGTGGTGGCACATGCCTTTAATCCCAGCACGCATGGGAGGCAGAGGCAGGAGGATCTCTGTGAGTTTGAGGCCAGCCTGGTCTACAGAGCGAGTGCCAGGACAGCCTCCAAAGCTACAGAGAAACCCTGTCTCGAACCTCCCCCCCCCAAAAAAAAAGAAAGAAAGAAAAGAAAAAATAAGAGGTGACAAAATGCTAGCAAGGATGTGGGAAAATAGGAATGCTTACACACTGCCAGTGAGAATGGAAAACTGGTGCAATCTCTTTGGGAACTTGCATAGAGGTTCCTCAAAAGCTCAAAATAGAATAACCATATATGACTTTGTCCTTGCCTGGGTTTGTTGTCATAGCAACACTGACTATATAGAACAGATGTAGTATTGTTCTTTCCTTTCTATCATTTGGACTACTTTAGGGGCATTAGTGTTAATCATTCCTTGAAGATTTGGTAGAACTAAACAGAGTGCACCCGGTACTAGGAGACTCTTGTTTGGAGACTGTGACTGCATCAGTCTTACTGCTTGTTAAGTATGTGTTTAAGTTGTTTCACTGATTCTTTGTATTGTGTTTTAGTTTCCATTTTATTAATTTCTGTCCCAGTGTTTATCCCCCCATTTTACAATTTTTTAATTAATTAAATTATGGTTTGTTTTGTTTTGCTTTTGAGACAGGATTTCTCTGTGTGGCCCTGGCTGTCCTAGAACTCACTCTGTAGATCAGGCTAACCTTGAACTTGGAGATCTGCTTGCCTCCGACTCCCGAGTGCTGGGATCAGAGACATGCACCATCACCACCTGGGCAGTTTATATCTTTATCTACCTCTTTGGAGTTTTGTTTGTTCTTTCTAAAAACCTTGAGCTATATGATTATATTATTTATTTGTGATATCTCTGATTTTTAAAAATGTGTGTGTGTGTGTGTACACATGTGTATGACATAGCATGTGTGTGGAGACCAAAGGATAACACTCAGGAGCTGGTTTTCTTCTGCCACCTTGTGGGATCCAGTGATCAAACTCAAATCGTCAGGCCTGAGCACAAGAACTCTCCATTGAGCCATCTTCCCAGTCTTGATTTATTTAAAGAAAAACAAGCAAACAAACAAAACAACATGAACACTTATACATACACAATTTTCTCTCATAATTGCCTTGGCTGTATCTCAGAGGTACTAGCAAGTTTGTATTTCATTTCATTTGATTCTAGGATTTTTTTCACTAGGCCCCTTGATTCCTTAATGATCCCATGGGTCATTCAGGAGTATGTCATGTGGAACTAGAGACAGCTCAGCAGATAAGAGCATGGGCTGCTCTTCCGGGTTCAGCCCCTCTATAGTGGCTCACAACTGCTGATAACTCCAGTTCCAGAGGATCCAATGCTCTCTTCTGTTCCCTGGGGTCACGAGACACTCATAAACAAACACACACACACACACACACACACACACACACACACACACACAGGCAAAACATTCACACAGAGAAAATAAAAGTAAATAAAACTTGTATTTTAAAAAGAGTGTGTAGTTGAATGTTTTTCTCTGCCCTGCTGGTCCCCCTGGACCAGTTTCTCTCCCATTCTTGGGTCCCCACAGCCACTTATGAAATAACACTCTGAAGCTTAATATCAATTGCAATTGTTTGCACAAGGACTTGGGCATATTACTGGTTAGCTCTCTGTTATTAATTATCCCATTTCTATTAATTTGTGTATTGCCACAAGGCTGTAGCTTACTGTAGGTGATGCTTTGACATGTTACTCCTTCAGCGGCTACATGTGTCTCTCTGACTCTGCCTTCTTTCTCTCAGTAATTCAGTTTGGATTTCCTGCTTTGCTAGCTAGATTCTGCCTGGCCATTGGTCAAAACAGCTTTATTTATCAACCAATAAAAGCAACACATTCGAAGCATACAGAAAGACATCCCGTATAAGAGTGTATTGCTCAATCCCCAAATGGTTTCAAACTTTCTGGTTTGGCTGTTTTTTTATTTGTTTTTGGTTTTGTACTTTTGTTATTGATTTCTGGTTTTATTTCCCCATGCTGTGACAAGGTGCAAAAATTTGTTTCAAGGGGTTTTTCTGAAATAGCAATTAGCCAGATCCAAAGTGTATACAGCTCAATGAGCTTCTATACCGTAAGAGCACAATTCTGAAGCCATGGAGCTTCACATTGGATTTTACACTTTCACCATCAAATGTACTTACTCACCACCAAAACCCCTAAAACTCATGACAGAGTAGAGTGAGAAAAGCAAGTAGTCTTACTTCCTCTTTTACAACTCAAGTGTCCTTTACTTTCCTTCAGTCCCCTCCTCAGCACCCTTTTATTTATCCTTTTTATGTTTTAACTGTGTCCATAGACGTTTGCTTACATGTATACATACATATTATAGACTACAGTCCACATAAGAGGAAGAACGTGCAGTGTTTTTTTTTCCTTCTGAGATTGTGTAATCTTGCTTAAAAATCAATCCCAAGTGCTTTTTTTCCTGCAAATTCTTAAATTTCATTTTTCTTTAGAGGGGAATAGAATTCCATGCTATTTATGTCACTATTGATGGAAAACTAGGGTTCCATTAGTTATTATAGAGCATAAAGAAGCAATAAAATGGGCGTACAAATATCTCTATGATAGGGTATGAACCTCTCTGGGTATATGCCCAGATCTGAAACAACTGGGTTGTATAGTCTATACTTAATTTTTTAAAAAATCGCTAAACTTTTCCCCCAGAATGTCTGTATTAGTTTGCACCTCACCAACAGTGAACAAGGGGTCCCCTCCCCACCACCTCCCCAACATTTGTTGTCAGATCTCTTGATGACAGCCATTCTGATGGGGGTGAGGGAGTATCTCAAAGTAGTTTTATTGTGCAATTCCCCTATGGAGATGATCCAACACTTTTGAAGGTAGTGATTATTCCTGTCTCTCTTGTTTTAAATTGTCTATTCAATTCATTTGCACATTTGTTGATTGTCAAAACTTAGGACTTTGCTAAGCATAATTAGTTGATATTAAAGTTTCTAATGGATTACTTAGTATATAAAATAAGTGTAAACTTAGAAATGTGTGTGCAAATATATATAAAAAAAAAAAACACTGCGAAGAGTTAAACCTGTCTTTGGAAGCAGGATTAAAGGAGACGGTGTTCTTGTTGGGAGTTTTTGTACTATTGAGTTTCTAAAATTATGCGCATATTACTTTAGTAGTAATAAATACTTTTAAAGTAAACACACCCATGCAGAGATGAAGGATGTCAAATTTGTTTAGTTACAGCTGATTTCCCCAAGATTTTTTCCTTTCATGTTTCATTTTTTAATTGGTGCATATTTTTATCTAGTAGAGTGCGTTTTTCGCTAAAATACATAATTTGTCCTAGTTGAATTTATGAGTCTCATTCACTTCTCCGAATCATCCGAGTACTCTTAAATCAGTTATTTATATGGGTTGTTTCTACACAATTTATCCACCAGGAGACATCTGAAGTCCTGAAGTCTGAGACAGACGCCACCCGCAGAAGCAATAAGCCGGGCTCTAGCCGGCTCCGGTACAGCTTGAAAGCGGATGTGGAGCAGTCGACATCATTTCCGGGAGCAGCCAAGAGCTATGACCGCCAACGCGGAGCCGAGGCGGCGGCCCGGAGTGGGTGTTGGCGTGGTGGTGGTGAGCTGCGAGCATCCCCGCTGCGTCCTTCTGGGGAAGAGGAAAGGGTCGTTTGGAGCCGGCAGCTTCCAGCTTCCTGGGGGTCATTTGGAATTCGGGTGAGCGGGTCGACCTCGGGAAAACGGAAGTTGTGCGAGCCGCACTAGTCCTCATGACAAATGGGTTCGTGTCACACGCATAAATGCGCAATTGCGTTCCGTGTGTTCTCTAGTGCTCCGGGGTCTTCCGGGCTCCCGCCGGGAGGGGGCGATCATTGCTATAGCCCTCAGGTGAGGCCACATATCATAGTGGTTAGACTGTTCACCTCAGAACAGCAAGTAGCCACAAGAAATCTTGTCAGAATCTCCTCTCTCTCTCTCTCTCTCCCCTCCCCTCCTCCTCCCCCTCCCCCTCTCTCTCTCTCCTCTCCTCCCTCCCCTGGCTGCAGGTGGGAGTGGGAGTGGTCTGTATTTCTTGGTGCTTACAGAGAAAGAGGTTGTTTATGAAAATCTGGGAGTCTTCGCTTTTCCCCACGAAATTTAGACATGTTTAATTTCTGGCCTTGTTGCCCTCTCCCCTGTGGGAGTGTTACAAGACAGGCCCGTGGTGGGTGTCAGACCACAAAGTGGGAAGAGTGGCTAAGTCAGTTTCTACACAACACGAAGAAACTCTGACCTTTGTGCTCATAAGTGTGTTTTAAACAGAACAGGTAAACGTACCTAAATCCCCAGGATCCAGTGCAGTTTCCTTTAGTAATGTATAATAATATAAAACACGTGTAAGGTGGGGCCTCAAGCCCTCCTACGGTTCTTCTATCCAACATGTACCATACTTGATTTTCTAAACTGTTGAAAAGGAAATCCTAGACTTCCTGTTATCTGTAAATATGTGGGTCGGTATTATCTAAATAGATTTAATTTTTTTTTTTAAGAGACAGGGTCTCACTGTAGCCCTGGCTGGCCTGGAACTCACAAGATCTGCCTGCCTCTCCTTCCTGAATGCTGGGGTGAAAGACCTGCACCACCGCACTAGACCCCAGCAGTCTCCTGTGGCATCTGCTTGGACCAACAGGAACATCCATTCCAGGATGGAAATGATGCTTGCTCGTGGCAGCCCTTCTCTGTCTCAGCCCAGGGACCTATGCTAGATAGTCTCCTCCTTCCAAATTCCCACCATGGAATTCCCCACGCAGTCAGATTTACCTGTGAGTTCTGCCCTACCACGCCTGCTCTAAAGTTTGGCAGCTCAATATGCCTTTGACAGGGGAGGAGTGTGCCAGTATCCCCTAACCTCTGACGACTCTTTCTGTTTGGTTTTGTGTTTGGGAATTTTGTTGTTGTTGTTTTTGAGACAGGGCCATGTTTTTTATTCTGGCCCATGCTGGCCTGGAACTCACTGTGGCCAAGGGTGGCCTGGACTTAGGATGGTTCTCCTGCCTCAGCTTCCTTCGTGTTGTGATTGTGGCATTACTGAGTCGTTGGAGGTCCCTCACACTGGCTCCCCATCATAAGGAAGGGAAACATTCCTACCAGGCTGAAAATGAATGCACAACTCCTTTCCTCTCAGGTAACCTGTACTTGCCGCGTGGCCTGGGAATACACTGTTCTGGCCTACTGCAGCAAGCCCCTGAACTCCCAGCACTTTGCTTACTGAGTTGCTTAATGGCCTCAGTTTTGAGACTTAAATCAAAATTCTGAAGCCTAGGGCAGGCATTTAATGTACTTTTGAAACACAACAACCCCATGAGAAATGTAATGTTTCCCTTTTCTATTTAACATAGAAAGTAGAACTTCAGGGTCCAGCTTGGGTACAGCTGACTTAAAAGCCTGGGTTCTCATCTGACACACTAAACTGCCCCCAGATACCTAGGTTTAGTTCCAGACCTGGATTTTAATGCTGGTGGTTAAATGTTGATTGTTGTCCAATATAAAAGTCTCTTTGGGTCTTCAAATCACTAAATACAGAAATGCAGAAAGTAAAGGCAGAGGGTTTTTTTTTATCATTTTAAAACATAAATTACTGTTGTTTTTACATTAAACCACAGCATTCCACCAAGAATCTCATTCGTATACTGAACAGGCTCTGTTTCTTTTTCCAGTGAGACCTGGGAAGAGTGTGCTCAGAGGGAAACCTGGGAAGAGGCTGCGCTACACCTGAAAAACGTGCGCTTTGCATCTGTGGTAAATTCTTTTGTTGAGAGAGAGAATTACCATTATGTCACCATACTAATGAAAGGAGAAGTGGACATGGATCACCATTCAGAGCCAAAGAATATGGAACCTGAGAAAAATGAAAGTAAGAGGATTTTATATAACAATGTGTTTTTCTTCAAAGAAACGTCACTGGAGCATTGTTGCCATATGAAGAGAATTGTATTCTCAGATTTCTGCCTTCACCCCTCCTAAAATCATTGGGTTGGAGCTAGGAGTGGTGACCCAGGCCTTCAGTCACAGCACTTGAGAGGCAGAGGCAGACAGATCTCTTGAATTTGAGGCCAGCCTGGTCTACATAGCAAGTCCCAAGCTAGCTAGAGCTATATAGAGTCTCAAAAAAAAAAAAAAAAAAAAGGACAAAAGTTGACATTCTAATCCTCAAGGTGATGGTAATAGAAGATGGGCATTTGGGATGTGGTTAGGTCACGAGGGCAAAGCTTAGCCTTGCTGTGGCAAAATGCCCAACATTAACAGCATAAAGAAGATTCCTTTAGCTCTGATTTTAGCTCTGATTTCCTAGGTTTTAGTCCATGGTCTTGGGCTTTGTGGATTTTGGGCCCTTTTTGAGGAACTGTAGTAGAGACCTTGTTACCTCCCAGCCCCACAGCAGAGAGGCAGCGTGAGTAGGGCCAGTTGTAGCGTTCTAAGGCACATCCCCAGTGACTTCCTGTACACAGTCCATACCTCCTAAAGTTACCATCGCCTCCCAGAATAGCAGCAGCAACTGGGACCCACTGTTCACCGTGATCATTGCCTATGCAAGCATAGCAGCCCCATCACAAATGGGATTAGTGCTCATGTAAAAGAGACCCCAGAGACATCCTCACCACTTCCTCCATATGAGGATACAGAGGGCGTATGGCTGTCCCATGAGCCAGGAAATGGGCCATTGCCAGACATAATGTCTTGCCAGCATCTTGATGGTAGTCTTCCAACCTGCAGAACTGTGTGAAATAAATGTCTTCGTGTGTAAGCCACTTAGTGCAAGCCATCCTATTACAGCGGTGCAGACAGAGACATGTGGAGATGTGGAAACTCACAGATCCTGGGGGACATGAAATCCAGCCTGCCTGGGTTTGTGTCTCGGTTTTATACACTGTGTTCTTGTGAGGATGCGATGAAACTACCGAACTGGACCACTCTATCTGTAGAAAGAAAGGCCTGTTTGGTGAAATTGAAAGCTGCCATGGCTACCCCCAGGGTCGAAGGGAGGACAGGGAGTAGGGAAAGGCAGGGAAAGCCTTGACAGTTTTAAAGAAATAGGCTGTGAAGAGAAGGAGCCTGTAAGCTGGAATAGCCTGGAAGTTTACAGGTGGTGGTGGTGGGGGGTGTTGCAGAGCAGAAGGGACAATGCCAGCTTGGGGACTGTGATATGTGTTATAGGTTTGTCTTACATGGAACTAGATGCCCCATATGGAGCTGTAGGGGCAGATAAGGGAAGCAGTGACTCTTCCAGACAGATAGACGGATGCTCTATTCACAAGTCTTTAAGCAGTAGTTCTCAACCTAAAGCCATCAGAAAACACAGATATTTACATTAGGATTCATAAGGGTAGCCAAATTAACAGTTGTGAAGTAGCAATGAAAATAGTCTTATGGTTGGGGTCACCACAACATGAGGAACTGTATTAAAGGGTGGAAGCATTAGGGAGATGGAGAACCAGTTTTTAAGGAATGCTGATTTTAGGCTTTTGTGTATATACCAGCAATCCTTCTGTTTACCTGGTCAGAGACCAGCCTGAGCTGAGCCCAGACTGTAAATGCCACATAGTCAGTGGTGGGACATCTTTTTCTCATTTGCAAACAGTAGAGACCTCATGTGAGTTCAGGTAGGGACTAAATGCGTTGGTGCATAGGATCCTGTCTCCAAGAAACAAAACAGCCCAGTGCTTCACTGATCGCCCCTCTCTTCCTACAGTCTTCCTTCTAAACCAAGGTTTGATTTGCACAACCAAGTTAGCCCCAGACACGACTGTTGCTTTGATTTGTGCTAGTCACTTGCAAATTCAGCTAACGTTTCCCTGAATGCATAGTAGCTTAGTTCACCAAATGAGAGCTCTTGTTCTGCCATCTGTGTGCACTGATCGTCTCTCTTCTAGGTTGGGAGTGGATTCCTTGGGAAGAATTCCCTCCATCAGACCAACTTTTCTGGGCTCTCCGTTGTTTAAAAGAGCAAGGCTATGACCCATTTAGAGAGGACCTGAACCACCTGGAAGGGTACAGAGGAGAGCACCTCCAAGGACCCAAGGAGATTCCTTAATGAAAAAAAAAAAATCTTAGTAAATAAAACATTCAGTGTTTCAAGACTTTGTTAATCTACAAGGCCACATGATCACCAGTTTATTTACACTCTCCCAAAGTAACTCGAACCCTTAAGAAAATCTTCCCGAGGCCGTCACTGTGAAGACGGATAAGGAGCTTGTGGCTGTCTGTACTGCACTGCTGTCTGCCTGGAGCAAGTGTCACAGTATTTGCTTTACTGTTCTGATTCAAATAGAGGTCAGCACTCATTCAAGTTCAGAAGCAATTTGCCCACTGCAAAATTCATCATGCTTGATTTCCTTCTTCTTTTTACTTGAAAGGAATTTTTTAAATGACAGTGTGAACTAGAGAGATCATGACATGAGGTAAGCTGTACTTCCCTGGTTTGACAGGGAATCTGCTAAATGTGAGGCAGACTAAGCTTGGCTCCTACTATTAAAGGCCAAGTCATCCGTATTTCCCCCTCTCTGTGCCTGAGATCTTGTGTGCGTTGTGATGGGATTACAGAGCAGTGCACTGGGTCTCCTAGTGTGGGGTCTTCTGGAGTCCTCAAGAACTTTGCAGGACAACAAGGCCAAAGGTTGGTTGGTTGCTCTCCCCCAACCCTTCTATTTTAAAACCTTCCATGAAATTGTGTGTCTGTGTGGTATGGGATTGTAATAAATGTTTTCAATTATTAATGTTCTCAGAAACCTAATTGTGATTACTAGTTAAGATATAGTCATTTTATCTTGTATTTTCTGATATATAACAGAATCTTACTTGAATATTATAAAATGCAACTGAATTTTTTTGTTTTTCAAGACTGGTTTCTCTGTGTAGCCTTGGCTGTCCTGGAACTGGCTTTGTAGATCAGGCTGGCCTCCAACTCACATCTGCCTGCCTTTGCCTGAGTGTTAGAGTTAAAAGCATGTGCTACCACTGCCCAGCTTAGATGCAACTGGATTTAAGTAAATTTCCTTCTTATACTGAAGGGGTACCAAAATACATACATACATACATACATACATACATAAATCAGACAACAGGAAAATTAAAAAATAAACAAAAGCAAGTTTATTTATACAAATTACAGTATTTACCACATATAAATAGTGATAGTTCTGTCGCTGCAACAGCAGCCGACTCTCAGGTGAGCACTTTCACTTTGAAATACCACACTCAGAGCCCCGCTGCCTTTGTGCTGGCCCGGACTGCTCTGTAGCCCTGATGGCTCAGAACTTACTATGAAGGTCTCACAGCAATCCCTGTCTCCCTGGTGCTGGGATTATAGGTATGAGCCGCCACGCCTGGCTTGGTGCCCTTTCAAGTCATTCCCGAGAGTTGTGTCATTCTCCTGCAGCCTCACTTCCAGAGCTGCTATGTGCAAACCAAAGTAGTAATGCTGACTAATCCTCACACGTTTGCCTAGCAGATGAGACAAAATGGGGGGGGGGGGCATTGAAAAGAACCCCAAATGGTTTTCAGTGGGCTGCTCCTTAGAGGTCTGGGGTTTACATGTCCCTCTTGTCAGGGCTCTGCAGCACTAGTCTGTGCGTGCTCTCACGCCTTCTTCAGTCAGAGTCGCTGCTGCTGCTTGAAGAGTCTGTTGACATAACCTCCACATCATCTTCATTTTCCTTGTTGTGCCCAGGAGGCTCCAACAGAAAGTCACTGCTGTGATTTGGTGGTAGCATGTTCACAGACATGTCATTTGACTGCCATGGGTACTGTGGAGCAAGGACATCTGGAGGAAAGAAGCATGGGGATCAGTTTACTTGTAATCCATCTACTTGTCAATCACCCTCCCTTTATGCAAGTAACTTAATTCTATCTACCCGCCTACCTTGTAGTACCAGAGGTCTAACAAGATAGGGGCCCATCCATGCTAAACACACACAAACAACAAATTATGTCCATTATACCCCAGCCATGGGTCCTGTGCCATGGTCCTATACATAATAGCTATTCATCCATATCTGTTACTAATTAATCCTTTCAACTTTCCTACTCAAATTACTGGTGTTGTTTGTCTTAAAAGGATTATAACCAACAGTGTAGTATAACTGCAATGAGAAAGACAAGGAATGTCTGGGAATTAATAAGCACAGAGTTCCCAAATCCACACTTTAGTACAGAAGAGATAGCTAAAGCTAAAAATGGGCTTCAGAAAGCATAGCCCCCACTCATGTCCTTTCTCTTTAGAAAGATCCTTTTACATTACAACATGGCACCTACAAAAATGCTTAGTCTATCTGGGGAGCACGCCTCATGATGGAAAATGTTCTTCGTTGTCATCAAGGAAAGCTCCTGTGCTGGGGGGAGGGTGGCAGGAGATGCACATGGGGACAGCTTAGGCTCATGTCATGCAATGCCACTGCAGGGTCTTTGGCTAAAGCAAGCACAGAATAACAAACTGGCAGGGACCCTGGACAAACAAGTAGATGAATAAGGCTGGGCCTGGGATCTCAAGAGTTCGATGTTAGACAACGCCTCGCTGGCACCTCTGAAAACCCTTGGTCTGCTTGAAAACACCCTTCCTGTCAGCATTACCTGGCAGTCTACCTGCTGCAAGGGCATCCCCTGGGAGATGGCCATTCACACCACTCGTGGAAGGGTTGTTCATCTGACCCAGCAATCCACTTCTCATCTCTAAATCAGTTGGGTACGGCCTCCGAGGGTCTCCTAAAACAACAATGAAGGCAGCTTTTTAACTCAAGTTTAAAAAAACAAAAGATAAGTTCTTTGAAGTATTAACTTTCCTTGGTGCACACTGAAAGCCTCAAGCTCTTTGTGAGACAGGGTTTTCACTATGTAGCCTATGCTGGCCTCAAACTTGCAATCCAGCCTCGGCCTCTCCAGGTGTTGCCTTTACAGTACCACACCTAGCCTGGCTGCATTGAAAATTCTCAAGCTGGGCATGGTCCATTAATCCCAGCTCTCAGGAGGCAGAGGTAGGCGAATTATAGCAATCTCAATTCTTCCAACTTAATTCTATTTCCTAGTAAGAAACATCAACAATGATACATCCTCTTGAGAGATGCCACAGAGGGCATTACTAGGACACTGAAAAAAAATGCCTAGAGATGTTGTTTTAGAGAAGTACATTCTACATTTAAATAGTTTTAATCTGACATAAGAAGCAATGTTACCTGGAACCCAAGTCAGTGGTGCACACACAGCATTGCTTGCACTAATCCTATGTGCATATTTAATGATTTCTTCTGAGGAGATAGCACCTGAGTTGAGAAAATAGAACAAATCAGACCAGTAAATACAAGTTTAGAAGAGCATACATCACAGTCACATATCATAGTTAATTTCAAACAATCAGAAAATAGGCTAATCTCATCTGTCCATCTTCCCTAACCTCTGCATATATGCTGAAACTGTTGTAAACATTTCCAAAGAACCAAGACACCACTCAGCAAAACCAGCTAACAAAACAGACCTGCAGGATAATGTTCAATAATCTCAATGACTAGCTGCCATCAAATACAGAACTCTTCCGAACACCACAGTGAGGAACAGTAAAATGAGGGGCAAGTGTTTGATTCCAGAGACATCCAGGCTGCTAAGCCAGCAGTCCAGATCCTGAGTGTACTGAGGAGGAGGTTCTAAATGGACTGTGCACCAAACAGTAGTGATAGCAGCTACCTCTGAGGAACAGAAACAGCTCCTCATTCTATAAACTTCAGACCTGTTTCAAAAGGCACTATGGACTTCTAACCACAGTCCTCACTAATAAGACTTAGCGACCTCTCCCGAAGATTTGCTTCTTGGGGCTGGAGAGATGACTCAGCGGTTAATGGCACTGACTTCCAGAGGACCCAGGTTCAATTCCCAGCACCCACATGGAAGTTCATACCTGTCTGTAACTCCAGTTCTAGGGAATCTGATACCTCACACAGACATGCATACAGGCAAAACACCAATGTACATAAGAACAAATTAAATACTCTAAAAGAATATTGCTTCTTGCTATAGAAGCCCACCCATCTCTCAAATAATTTTAGCTGTTTCCTCACATGTAACAATCAGAAAGTAGATTATTCCAAACAGGCAAGAGGAAAACAAATCAGAGATAGCTAAATGTAAACCAAATGTACAAAGTATTAAAGCCATATTTTACTCTCGGTACTTGAAGGTCCAGTGAGCTCAGGACGTAAGGCTTTAAAATGGGCAAAAGGCTGGCAGACAGTGCTCCCACCTCAGTGGTCAGCATTGCTCTCTCTGCCCAGCCTTCAAGAGCGTAATGTAAATCCCACTTCTCAACAGTTTTATAGACCGTTGTCTTTACTATACATGTAAAAAGCACAAACTGCCTTCTGTGACTGTGCCTTAAAACTGGAGGAGGATTGTAAGATATGTCTACCCTCTCTGAGATGCCAAATATAATGTAAGAACACAGCATGTTTTACAATGAAAACTACTGGGCACCCTTTCAACAGCGTGATTAGGAGTATCTTTATCAGCTTAAAAGATTTTATTTATGTATGCACACATATGAGAATGTGCGCATGTGTGTGAAAATGTGAGAGTATGCACATGCACAGCTTTATATGGGTTCTAGAGATCACACACGAACAACAAACTTTTACGCACTGGACCGTCTCCCTGGACCTTTATCAGCTTCTTGACACACACAGTCTTGCATTTTAATAAAGTCAGCCAGCCTACCATTGGTACCAACCTTTTCTTGCTTTCTCTATTGACTTGAGTTTCTCCTTTGCTTGGTAAACAGCTGTTGCCTAATTTAAATGAAATTTAAAATACAAATTATTCTTAACTATAACAAGCAGAGTTTTCAAATTGATTCACAAAGTTACTCACTCACAGGAACAATTTGCAAGACTTGGAAATCCCTGAAATTTATATGTGATCTTCTGAAACACCACTTGATATCATTTACATCACAGTTATGTTTAATGAAAGAACTATATTCATGACTCAGTCTCCACTAATAAACAGCTGTTAGGAAATGTATGACCTGAAAGGGCAGGGAGGAAATACTGGGGGTGGAAGTTTTAAGTGGGGACTGGACTGGAAGGAAGGGAGAAGAAAAGAGTGAGGGATGCAATGTAAGTATAAGCATACAAATGTAAGTATGCTTGGAACCCCAAGTAATAGACTAACCTTGTCTCTAAAGACAAACAAAGACAACAAAATGTGAATTGTGCCATTGTTTGAGCTATGAGAGACAAAGGCAAATTTCCTTTTCTTTTTTCTTCTCTTTTTCTATATTTTCTGGTAAGTAAATATTACTTTCATAAGAAAAAAAATAATCCATTTTTAAAAGCATTTATTTAAAAACAAAAACCCCAAACCATTTTCTTGGGGTTTTCTTTTTTGGGGGATTCTAAGTTATACTAAACCACCCAGGCTCCTTTTCCTGGAGCCCGCTATGACATACTTGTTCAGGAACAAGAATAGCAGCTCATTGGGTCACATGAAAGTTAAGCTCAGTTGTTTCTGTAATATGACCATAGGAAGTTTACTTTAGCAGTAAGCAAAACAACTGGACTAATCAAAGCAAATAAATTACTTCTTCAAAATAAGTATCCAAGCCAGGCATGGTGGTGCATATCTTTAGTCTCAGCACCCAGGAGGCAGAGGCAGTTTGAGGCTGCCTGGTCCACCTAGAGAGGTCTAGTCCAGCCAGAGCTACATAGAGAGACCTTGTCTCAAGGCAAATGGAAAAAAAAAAAAAAAAAAAAAAGGCAAGGAGCTGAGCGAGATGACCATTTGCAGAGTACCCAGGTTCCGTTCCTCACTGCAGCTCAAAATAATCTGTAAGTCTAGTCCAGGGGTCCTAATGCCCAAATTCTAGCCTCTGCCAGCACTGTACACAAGTGGTGCACTTACATGGACAAAACATTCATACATGTAAAAATATTTTACTTGAAAAATTTTGTTTTAAATAGTAGAGAACAAAGGAAAACCTAGTGTAGAGTCCTGATAGGTGAGAAACTTGCCTACCTTAAGATGGAAAACAAATAAAATTTTTAAAAATCTGTGAAACTAGTACATGTTTACTGACCCAAAATATTTCATAAACTAGAGATTTTGACTACTAATATCAAACCTGAATTAGGCCAAAGTAAAAGTAAAGCTTCCTACTTCTATAATTTAAAATATCTAAATAAAATATATAGCTGGAAGATGGGTAGTGGTGGCAGCACACGCCTTTAATCCCAGCACTTGGGAGGCAGAGGTAGCTGGATTTCTGAGTTCAAGGCCAGCTTGGTCTATACAGTGTGTTCCAGGACAGCCAGCACTATACAGAGATGCTGTCTCGTGGGGGGATGAGGGTAACCTGGGTTTGTTTTTTTTTTTTTCCCTTCAAAATATAACAAGAGTTTTGAGGAGAGAACTTAACAGCCGCCTCTCCAGGACCAACCGTCAACTCACCAGGATTTGCTCTGCCTCTTTCAGCTGTTTCTGCAGCTGCTGAATATCACTGTCTCTCTTCTCGACTTCTTTTTCTAATGCCTGCATTTCATGGTGGACTTTTCCCTGATTAAGTGCCAACTTCATCAGTTCTTGAAAGTCCCCATCTCGGTGAATTAGCAGCTCCAAGACCTGTCAAATAATAGTTGATTCCATCAGACAACAGGGTTATCAAGGCTATCACCAATGAGACAAAGAACCCATGCTTGAATTGGCTAGGTTTACCAGTTTTAACACCCGGAATAGTCTTAATCAGCATTAACAATATACATAGCCCATTTGGGGTAGTTTGAGGAAACAAGTTTTAATATCAAGAATTTCCATTTTTATTCTGGTCCTTTTCCATGTAGAACATATCTTTCAGAAGTAATACTGTGCAAATTTCAAGTTTATTCATCTTCCAAAGATAAAATTAAAAAAATTATCCTTATACTACGGAATAATAAAAAGCTCTTCCAAAATCTAATGGTTTGAAGTGACTTTAGTTGGCACCAAACACTTTAAAACTTTGAGATACACCCGGGCGTTGGTGGCGCACGCCTTTAATCCCAACATTCAGGAGGCAAAGACAGGTGGATTTCTGTGTTCAATGCCAGCTTGGTCTACAGAGTGAATTCCAGGATAGCCAGGGATACACACAGAAACCCTGTCTCGAAAAACAAAGAATGAATAAATAGATAATGAATAAATGGTATGCAGATATGGAAAAATGCCACCAAGTTTAATATGCTATCTTGTTGTGGCGGGGGAGCTGGGGTTTTTTCCCCTTCAAAATATAAGCAGAGTTTTAAGGAGAGAACAGAAGCCTGGGGTTTAGTTTGTAACCCTTCAGTTGCTAGCAGTAAGTCACAGGAAAAGAAGTCACCACCCTCCATGAGCCTATTCTCTCCTCTAAAAAGAAAACTTCCCCAATAACACCTATCGTATGCCAGACTATTCTAAGGACTCATGATGTAAGGGAGGTTGGAACACACAGAAGAGCTCAGCAGGCCGATGTGTTGACCACACCTACAATTCCAGCACTGAGATAAAGGTAGGAGGACCAGTAAGTTCAAGGCAAGCCCCGGCTACATAAAAACCCAGAAAGAGAGAGGGGCAGTGGTGGCATCTTGGCAGGCAGATCTTGGAGAGCTCAAGGACAACCGAACAGATAAACCCTGTCTCAAAAACAAAAAAGATGGTTTGAGCGTATGTTTATATTCATTTTGAGAACAGAACGTACTTGAAATCTTTAAACTGATACTTTTTTTAAAAACCAGAGTTTTATTTTATTTTTTTCCAAGACAGTATCTCACTACATAGCCCTGGTTGTCCCGGAACTCACTCTGTAGACCAGCCTGGCTTCAAACTCAGAGATCTGCCTGCCTCTGAAGGTGTGAGCCACCATTTTTTTTTTTTTTTTTAGATTAAAAAAGAAACCGTTTACCTGGTTTTCCTCATCCAGCTGTAACAGCTTCTGATTTCTTGAAATTGCCAGCATTTCTATAAGTTCCCTAAAAGAAAAGCAACCATCAGGGTACGGTGGTACTTGCCTTAAACTCGATAAAGGGGTGGGGTAGGGTGGTGGTGGGGGGGAGGGGGGATTCAGGCCATCCTGAGCTACCAAGTGAAACCTTTTAAGAACACAATAAAAACCTGTGAGAATAAATAGAAAAGAAACTGTTTTAACTGCTCTCTGTCCCAACCGATTACTGGCTTCATGGTTGTGATTTACAAGAAAACTATCTGACCTGGACTGTGGGTCTGCAGGCCGAATCCAGGAGGGCTACAGCTTGTGGAAATTATTTTCTTGTAAGATAGCACTGACTGCCATGACGATGGGGCTCTGCCCTTACAAGGCTCCAACTGATCGACTTTATAATGACAATATGGAGAATGACACCCAACTTAATCTACTTCTGCCACACAGGAGCCATCCCACCAAGTCCTGCACGTTTCTGACCTTTTTTTCCGGGATGATGGGATCATCTGCCAGACGCCTAACGAGTCTGATGTCTTCCCCAGACAGCCTACTGGTTTGGGAAGCTCGCCTTGCTTACACCGGACTAGGGGTCCCATCCGTGGACTCCAGAAGGCTGCAGCTCGGCTCGTGATCCCAGCAGGGCTCCCTGGTGCTGGCACCCAGCCTCCCTCGACTACAGCATCCCTGCACTTGGCACTCCGGGGCTGAGTGTCCGTGGACCGGGCCCTTCCTTACTGTCTTGGGGCTCCAGGTCGCTGAGATGTCCCCTTAGTGGGGACATGCCGCCCAAAGCCCCGGAAGGCCGCAGACCCCAGGTGCCCCACACTCGCGCTCCGGCCCGACACTCCCCGGCCCGCCTACCCCCAGTCAGCGCCCACAGCAGGGCCGGCCCGAGCAGGTTTCCCGGGCCGCGGTTACCTCGACAGGACCTCCAGGTCTTCCAGCGCAGACAGCAGCCGCTCGCGCGTGCTGCCAACGCCTGCCATTACCGAGACGCCGCCCAGACGCTCCTTCTCCTTCTCCCCACTTGAAGAAGCCGCCATCGCCCAGCCGATCGCCAACAACCGCATGCGCAGAGTGAGCTAGCGGCAGGAGGGGCGGAACCGGAACACGGGAGGAAGAGTCATAGAGGTGGTGAGAGAGAGGCTCCGCTAGAGCGCCGCCTACGGTCTTGGAGGTGCACTGCAGTTCTGGCGCCATCTGCTGCGCAGAGGAGGGATTGCTCCAGCCGGACCCAGGATGAGAGAGCTATCCAGTCTCCTGGATCTCCTGTTTCCTTAGCTGCAATGGGAAGTTGCTAATAAACGAATTTTAAGAAAGCGAGAGAATTGCACAATTATTAACTTTTATTTTGTCTGCATTCCCATAATATTATCAAGCCCGTTAAGATAGTTCTCTCATGAGGTTGTAGTAAACATCTTAGGACAGGAACCAACATTTCCCCCCCCCCCATTCTTTTGTTTGGTAGCAAAATATATATACATATAAAATTCACTATCTTTTTTTAATCCGGGAAGTCACTCTATGGGCCAGGATGGCCTCAAACTCAGAGCTCTGCCTATCTCTGCCTTTGGAGTGCTGGGATATCAAGTGTTTAATTTTTAAAAAGTTTTTTTTTTAATTTTAAATACTGTCTCATGTAGTCTAGGCATGTACTACCACACCTGTGGCTCAAACCTAGAGCTCTAAGCATGCTAGGCAAGCATTCTACCCACTGAGCCACACCCCAAGCCCTGGAGTGCTGGGATTAAAGGTGTTTGCCACCACCACTGGGCTATTTAAATTAAGTATCTTAGCCACTGTATGTATAGAGTTCACTGGCCTTAACTTGCTGTTAAATAAGAGTAGTGGTGGTACACACCTTAAGAAGCAGGCAGATTTCTGAGTTCTAGGCCAGCCTGGCCTACAGAGAGAATTCCAGGACAGCCAGGGCTACACAGAGAAACCCTGTCTCAAAACAAAACAAAATTGCTGTTAAATAGCATCCATATCCAACTCTTTTTTTTTGCTTGTTTGTTTGTTTGTTTTTGGTTTTTGAGACAGGGTTTCTCTGTATTTCTTTGGAGACTGTCCTGGAACTCTTTCTGTAGACCAGGGTGGCCTTGAACTCACAGAGATCTGCCTGCCTCCGTCTCCTGAGTGCTGGGATTAAAAGCATGAGCCACCAATGCTGAATGCTGAGCCACTCCACCAGGCTGAATTCATTTAGCATAAATGCCCTTAAGTTTCATCTACATTGGAATAGGTTCCAGAAATACCCTCCCTTGAAGTCTGAACACCACTCCACTCTTGTGCACACCATACCCACCCTCTGATGGGCATTTGGTTGGGTTTCTTTCTTACTTTTTAGAACTCATCTTTCTACAAAATGCCTTGCTCCTTAGTCAAGATGACTGGCAAACCGAATGAATCAATAGAGTGTGTGAACAGCAATTCAAAAAATTAGTGTAAATAATTGACAAAGTACATATTCCAAAGCAGGACCGGTTGTCAACATTGAAAACCCACGTCCTCCCAATCTTTCTGGAGAAATCAACACAGTAGGGAACTTTCCCTACGAGGAAACCCAGAATTCCAGCTACTGGGATTGAGGACTCTGCGTTGAGTCACGTTGCTGTTATCAAAAATGAGGTAAAGATGCTACTCACAGCCAGCCACTAGGATGGGACAGCGATAGTGACTGTCTTCTTAGAGTGGGGTGTTGAAATCTCCCACTATAAGTGTGTGCAGTTTTATGTGTGATTTGAGTTTTAGTAATGTTTCTTTTACAAACGTGGATGCCTTTGTATTTGGGGCATAAATGTTCAGAATTGAGACTTCATCCTGATGGATTTCTCCTGTGATGAGTAGGAAATGACCTTCTTCATCTCTTTTGACTGATTTTAGCTTAAAGTCCAATTTGTTGGATATTAGGATTGCTACCCCTTGCTTGTTTCTTTGGTCCATTTGATTGGAAGATCTTTCCCACAACCTTTAATTCTTAGGTACCATCTGTCTTTGAGGTTGAGGTGAGTTTCTTGTATGCAGCAGAAGAAAGGATTCTGTCTTCTTATCCATTCTGCTAATCTGTGTCTTTTTATAGGGGAGTTAAGACCATTAATGTTGATGGATATTAATGACCATTGATTATTGTTCATTCTTGTTTGTTTTTGATTTGGGGATGGTGGCAAGATTATGTGTGGCATTCTATCCCTTTTTTCTTTTCACTGTTGGTATGTTGGGATTATCTATGGCCTATGTTTTTCTGGTTGTAGTTAACTTCGCTGGGTTGCAGTTTACCTTCCTGTACTTTCTGTAGGGCTGGATTGGTGGATGTGTATTGTTTGAATCTGGTTTTATCATGGAATATCTTGTTTTCTCCATCTATAATGATTGAAAGCTTTGCTGGGTATAGTAGTCTGGGCTGGCATCCATGGTCTCTTAGTGTAGGTAGAATATCGATCCAGGACCTTCTGGCTTTCAGAGTTTCCAAGGAAAAGTCAGGTGTGATTCTGATAGGTTTGCCTTTATAGGTTACTTGACCTTTTTCCTTTGCTGCTCTTAATATTTTCTCTTTGTTGTATATGCTTGGTGTTTTGATTATTATGTGGCGAGGTGACCTTTTTTCTTGGTCTAGTCTATTTGGTGTTCTGTAGGCTTCTTGTATTTTCATTGGCATGTCTTTCTCTAGGTTGGGAAAATTTTCTTCTATGATTTTGTTGAATATGTTTTCTGTGCCTTTGAGTTGGATTTCTTCACCTTCTTCTATACCTATTATTCTTAGGTTTGGTCTTTTCACAGTATTTCCTGGGTATTTTGTGTTAGGGATTTGTTGGACTTAAGATTTTCTTTGGTTGATGAATCTATTTCCACTAGTGTGTCTTCAACTCCTGAGATTCTCTCTTCCATCTCTTGTATTCTTTTGGTTATGCTTACATCTGTAGTTCCTGATTGTTACTATAAATCGTTCTGCCAAAAGCCACCTGAGCCCCACTGCCACATGTGAGCTTTACGACAGCCGCCTGCCCGAGTTAGGCACAAATGAATACACAGAGAGACTTGTATTAGTTACAATGCTGCTTGGCCAATGACTAGGATTCTCATCTGTTATCTCAGTCTCAATTATCATACATCTATATATTTTATAAGACTTACCTTATCGGACGCCTTATTGGCATCCCTCCTAGCTGGTGATCACATCGTGCCGCTGAAGCAGGAGCCGAGGGGAAAAGAGAGAGCCCTTCCTGTTTCTCTTTCGCTTAAATATGAGTCTCCTTGCTATGTCACTTCCTGCCTGGATCAGCACTTCTCTACTACATTTCCCAGAATCCTCTTTGACTCCTAATTCCGTCTAACTTGCTGTCTCATTGGCCAAACAGTATTTTATTCAATAATCAATAAGATAAACAGACACAGTAGTACATTCCCCATCACCGGATTGTTTACCCAGCTTTTCTATTTCTAGCATTGCCTCAGATTGTGCTTCCTTTATTGTCTCTATTTCGGTTTTTAGGTCTTGAACTGTTTCTCGTATTTTTTGGTTTGTTTTGTCTTCAATTTCTTTAAAGGATTTTCTCATGTCCGCTTTGAGGTCCTCTATCATTTTCCTGAAGATGGTTTTAAAGTCATTCTCTTCTGGTTCATCTGCATCGTGATGTTGAGTTCTTACTGGTGTATGGTTCCTAGTCTCCGGTTGTGTCTTATTGTGTGTTCTCTTGTTGGATGTGTTTTCCCTTGTCCTCTTCTCATCCTTTCTTCTGGTGGGTGTAGCAAGTATTTCTTGTTCTCCTGGTGGGTTTGGGACTAAGGTTCCCTTCTGGTAGATACAAACAGATCCGATACTCTGATGTCAGTCCTCTTCTTGTGGATGGAGGTGTCACTGTTACCTGGGTGTCGGCAATGTCGGGGCCTGCCAGGTCCCACCGGCTGGCAGTTGGAGGCCGAGCTGTCACTGGGCCTCAGGGGTGTCGGATCCCGCTGCCAAACTCTGTATGGTCACTTGTGTCAGATGACTCTGAGCAGCAACGACAAGCAGGAGCTGGAAACAGCCCCTGGCCTACCTGGGCTGGTGGATTGAGGCTGGAATGCCTCTGGGTGTTCAGTGTTCGGAACCCATCGCCACCGAACTGGGTCCGGCACGCAGGTCGCTTGCGTCAGATGACTCTGAGCAGCGATGACAAACCCGTGACTGTGTTCTTATCATTTCACGTCTAGTCCTGTCGACTGTCCTGTGGAGACCGACTCCTCCTGAGCGCCCAGAACTGAGAGACTCATGTTTATAAATGCACTCACAGCCACAGCTGTGTAATTTGTGGTGTCAATTTATAATAGAAAATTGTAGGGAGCCGTTCCTACATTCTCCATTACAATGATGGTGCCTCCAGGCACCAAATGTAAATTATTTCACAGGCGCTGGGTAATTTCCATTCCTTTGATCTCTGCCTATCCCGTGGCTCATTTGGCCTGAGGAGCTGAAGCCATTCATAGGGTAACACGTCCCAGGCGGCTGCCTGCCAGCCTTTATTAAGGAATGGGATTCTTGGCTCAGGGTCTCCGCTCTGGTAAGCTTATGCTCTCCCACTCTCAAGATGCATTAAAGCTTTCCTGCAGAAGGATCCGAGTGTCCTGTGTATGTTTCTTGCCGGCGAGAACATATAGCGCACGGGACAGAAAATAATGGTGCTGATCTCATTTCCCCAAAATAGAACCACAGGACAGTCCATTGTCCAGATAGGTGTTCAGTGTACTTGAATTAGAACAAATGAGGATAGGCTACAAATGTAATGATGCAGCCACGAGGGCTTGTGCACCTACAGTGTGGGGATGGATATTGGTGTTAGAGACCAGAATGCCTTGCTCACGAGGCAGGGTACCTCCTTCCTTAACCAGTTCAACGCACTCACAGACACCTTTT